TGTCATGGAGTCAGATGAAGATATAATTGGGTCCAGAATACAGTCTTGTGCCTGCTGCTCTACTACTTTAGCCTAGAGCAAACATTTTTGCTTGTTTGCCACTGGTTGGTTGGTTTGCAGTGTTGCAGAACAAACCCAGGGTCTCATGCAAACTAGGCTAGCACTCTGCCCCTGAGCTGGGCACCCTCAGCCCCTGGAAGTGATCTTAGGATATAGGTTCTGATCCAGCAATAATCAACAAAGTCTGGCAAATATAGCTAACATATTTTTTTTAAATAAACCTGTGGTGTCCACAGCAAATTTTAGCCAAACCTGAACTAAGAATTTTGGATTTATCTAACATAATTATCTTGTTCCCTGTAATTTCTTCTACAAGTGCCTCCCACTGGCTTAGAAGCTGGGGCAGTGCCCGTACATGTGGGAGGAGCTCACTGCAGTGTTGACTGACTGGAAGCTCTGTCTGCCTGCAGCAGGTGACGCAAAGGCAGGCTCAGAGGACCAAGTCACCTGGGGCACGGAAGGGTGTGAGATACTTCAGAGGTCTTCATTCAGCAAGGCAGAATGAGAGAAAACTAAGCTTTAGAGACTCAAAAGTTCCAGTATTTAGTGGAAAGACTTATCTGACCCATTCCTTAAAAATGCCAAATAAATGTAGGACTTCAACTCATTTTAACTGAGTTGGTCAATTTGTTGGGGTTGGGAAATCAGAAGATGGTATTTTTCCTCTTGCTTGTCATCACTGTAGTTTGGAGAAATTTACACATGCATTTCTTTTTGTTTGTTTGTCCCCCTCCCCCCACAACAATGGTACATACATTGCACATTGTCATCCCCGAATCATTCACCCAGAGCACAAGACATTTGCATTCAATTGTCCAAACACTACCAGCACAAATTTTCTCTTCAGTGAAGTCAAGCGAAATCAGTAGTGTATCTTAACTATTTTTGTATACATACATATATATATATACACACACATACACATAGTTTCTTTCAGCTCACACTAGTGAAACTGTACCATGTTTATGCATGAATATACATATTTCTTATCTATGCTGTATAGGCTGTGAATGTACAGCCTAGCTGTACATATATATTTGTCCACTATTTCCCTAACTTTGAAGAATTTTGAGTCCTTAAAAGAGTTGAAAGTACAATGAGACCATACACACATGGCTTCACCTAGACACCAACAGTTTGCACATTTCTTGTATCTTTTTAGGTGTGTGTATACACTGCTTTTCTTCCTTAATTTGTAATCTTTATGGCACTCTATCTTTGTATTTTAGTAAGAATAAGCATAGCTTCTTTCCTAACAGCAAAACAATCACATTTAAGACATTTGATAATAAAACAATAAAATTTTCCAGTGTTCATCTATGTGTAGTCTGGATTCCAAGGAAAAAGCTTAAAAATACAGGACACATAATTTATAGTAATATTTTATGCTAGTCACTCAGCGTCAAATACAAGAAGTACAGAAAATCTGTCTACATATGAAAGACCTAGAGAATCCAGCCAAGGGCCTGGATCCCATGGCAATACCCTGCATGAATTCAGCTGAAAACCTAGAGCCCATGACAGTACCTCCCATGAGTCCAACTGGAGGCGCAGAGTTCACAACAATGACTCATGCAAGTCTGCTTCACCAATCTGCGCTGGGAAGGTCCAAAGGTCAACGGTGAGAGCTAGAAAATCCATGCTAGTGGGGTGAAGGACCTGTGCCAGTGGTCGAAGGCTCTGTACTGGATCCAAGAAGCAACATTCAAAATAAGGACCAGGTACTTTTCCCCTGAAAAGTACTACAGCCATCCTCAGTAACAAAATGAAGTCCCAAGCTCCTTGGACAATAAGAACAGCCAAGTACATATCAGGAAACCAGCGTGATAAGCTTCTGGATACTGAACAGCACATATCATCCCCTCCAGAGCCAGGAAGCGATACTCCTTTAAGGACCAAAGTGAACCACAGCCAGTCTCAGCAACAAAGTCCTGAGCTCCTCCAGTAATAACAGTCGAGTTCATATCAGGGCAGCTAGCATGACAGGTTTCTGCAGGAGAACCATCGGCTCCAAACAACACCACTTAGGAGAACCCAGAACTCACAATGCTGCTCTTCCTCTCGGGGTCTCCCTTCAGTGCTGGCAACAGTCCTCAGGTGGGCCATCCACACTCAGCACCACACTGATTCAGCTGGTGTTTTAAGTTGTCCACACTCAGCACCACACTGATTCAGCTGGTGTTTTAAGTTGACCACCAGTTAATCCACTACAATCTATATCTAAACTTCTTCAGTTATTTCAAAGATGTACTTTAGAATTTTTTTTTAAACATTGAATTCCATCAAGAATCCTACATTACATTTAGTTATTCTTTTTTCACCTTTATTCTCAAAGAGTTCCTTGCTATTTTATTTGGGGAGTGAGTATGACATATTTTAGCTAATTTTTTTTTTTTGTCTTTTTCGTTTTTTTTTATCGGTACCAGGGATCAAACTCACGACTGCCTGCTTGCAAGGCAGGTGCTTATGCCGCTGAGCTAAATCCCCAGCCCCCTTTAGCTAATTTTTAAAAGCTTGCATATCTTACTTGATTGGATTCAATGTTTCTATTTTTGGTCAGCATTCAGCTGATTCTCTGCTCTTGGTATATTATTTCAGAAAGTACATACTAATGTGTTTCATGATTCTGTGGCTGAGCACGTGGTCAAGGTGGTATTGATACACTGTAATTGGAAGATTGTTTCCCAATCCAGTAAGTAATCTGTGGAATTATACTTGGAGAATGAATCTCTCATTTCCAAAAAACCTTTCTACCATTGCTTTGATTACTTCTATTAAGTATTATTTTTAAAATGTTTGTTTTCAATCATACTGATGATTTAATCAATGTAATAAACCTTATATATTCCCTCTATTTTCATATCATAAACCTAATTATGTCAACTCTTAAAATTATTGGTCTTGCTCCAGGTCGTGTGTGTGTGTGTGTGTGTGTGTGTGTGTGTGTGTGTGTATGAGTGTGTAAAGAAACATACTGAGACCCATCTGAACTCTTACCCTATTTCCCTACTCCTCATCTCCAGAGATCACCACTGTCAAGAACTCCTTGATCCCCCTCTTTACTCATTGCTACCTGTGTTTTCTACTTCTATATTTGTATATATTTGTAGGCATTAAATAGTATTGTTTTGGACACTGTTGATCTTTCTGTGTATCTTTATACTGTATAAAGTAATTTACAGGTTTTTTAAAATTCAGTATTGTGTTTTTTTATTTTTTGAGACAAGGTCTCCCTATACACTAGGCTGAATTTGAACTCAAGATGCTCCTGCCTCAGCCTCTGGAATGCTGGTATTATAGGGGTACATCAGCATGCCTGATGTAGCATAATCATGAATTATGATTATTCAATGGTGACAGTTCCCATTGTGCACATATCCTAATTTATACCTGTACTGTTGTGGATTGGCAGACGTTTAAGTTTCTAATATTTTGTAAACCAGAACGATAATTAGCATATATATCTCCTTGTGCGAAACATACATGTGGGTAATATCACCAAAAACGGAAATCCTGCCTTAGCACTTAAATGCCTTGTTTCACCAGAAATTGTATTTCTGTGAAAAAATTGCAGTATACTCTCACATGCAGAGTGAAAAGTCCTGTTTGTCTACACTGTTGATAATACTTCTGTCTTTTAAATTTTTATCATTCTGGTGGGTGTTTGAGTGATATCTCCACCCCCCATGTTTTTTTCTCTGTTGGATTTTTTTCAGTGTGTAGTAGGTAACCATAAATTGAAAATAGCTTTAGTTTTTTGTTCAAGTATTTTCTTCCAGTTATCCTGCCCATATTGGTGTAGATATTTTACACTTTAATGTGTTAAGTTTACCTATCTTTTCCTTGACAGTGTGTGCGCTTTATGGTTTATGTAAACTTTTTTTACAACCCAAGATCATGTAGATACTCTTCTGAAGTTGGTCAGAGAGAAGCAGTGGAGTACATGTATGCAGAGAACAGAAATAGGGAATATGCTGTTTCAATTCCTGCAATCCTGTGCCATTGTTTTTAGTCTTGTTTTGTTTTGTTTTAAAATAAAAATTCCTGCAGCTTTCCTGTACCCTTTTGGTCTATTGTATTCATACAGTGCATTCCCACTTGGTTTAAGCTAATACGATTTTTCTATTATTTGAAATCAGAGTTCTGCTCATAGTAAGTTAATAGATAAGTGCATTCAGATCAGTAAATTCCCGTAATTTAGATAAGCAAAGAGAGAAGGATGGTATTGGTGTGTGTGCGGGCGTGTGTATGTGTGCAGGAGCATTTGGGGGGACATGAAGACCAGGAGCAGGAGGCGGCCAGCAGTATGTCTGGGGTAGCTCTGTGGTAAAAGAGAAGCTGGGAGAGCCTCCCAGGCAGAGGTTGCCATTCTCTGGTATCCCTTATCTCTGGTATCTGATGTGGGCCCCCTTTCTTTATAAAGCAGAAGCTTTAGAGAGATTAGGTTGCTGCTTGATGGTGCCCAGCGGTGCAAGGCCATCAAGGCTTGAACCCAGCTGTGTCAGACGCACGTCAAAGGTCTCTATCCTAAGCAACTAAGCATTGGACCTCTGCCATAGGTCCTTAACTCAGCAGCACACACACTCCCAGGAGTTTTTGAAAAATATAGTCCTTTTTCCTGGGAGTCCGTGTGGGCCTAGCGAAGGACGACATTGCAAAAGTTCCCAGGCGACTGAGCAGGGAACCCAGAGATGTGACCTGCTGCTTCATCCATCTTCTGGGCCAGAAAGCCCTAAACCTAGTCGTGTTTCAGAATCACTAACGCCTTTGGAATAATACACAGATCAATGTGCAAAATTGCCCAGCCAGGCTTGTAATTTGCAGGTTGGGGCCGGGCTCAGGCGACGATTCCAGGGCACCCCGCTAGAGGGCGCCGCTGCATCACGAGCCACTTCCGGGCGGAAGAAGGCGGGGTGCGGGTAAGACGTGACCCGGAAGGCAAAGGTAGCAGCTTCCGGTCTCTTGCCGGGGAGGCAACGTGAGCGACTCACGCACCTGTGGCGGCTTTAGGCTCCTTTTCTGCTTTCTCCGCCGACAACATGCTCCAGTTCCTGGTGAGTGGAGCCCTGTGGGGGTGTCTTCTGCCTCCTGTACGCCCTTCGTGGATGTTTCTCTTCGGACGTTCAGTTCCTGTGAGTGGAGGCTTCGGGGGAGCCGCACGTTCGCACTCCGCGCTGTGGGCCCCGCGAATCCGCTTGCCAGCCAGGGCCGCGGCGGCCTCTGCAAGAGCTGAGGGCCGGCGACACTGCATTGCCTGTGCCGCCTCCTCTGGCGGCGGGGTTGGGCGCCCGCGTCCCACTTTCCAGAGTGGCAGTCAGACGCAAGCAGTCTTCACCAGTCTTTGGCGGGGCAGGGGGTGTGAGTAATACAGTGAATAAGCAAATTATTTTTTGTGGTTCCTCGAGTTAAAACCGCTTTTTTTATGGCAAACTCAGTATATTTCCAGAGTTGCTAGTGAGTATTCCAGCGCACTTAACATATTTCCAATGAAAGTTTTTAGACCAAAAACTTAACTGTGCAGTTAAAAATCATGGCACTTTCAACCTCTAATGAGGCAGATACTCTCTTCCCTGTGGTTCGTGGAGACCTGGTGTTCTAGGAATGAGCTGCTTTCCCAAATGTACTTTTGGTGATTGATGGTTAAACTTCTTTTGTCAAAAGACGATCCTTGAAGTAAACTGCCTGCCTAAGACCTTGTTGCTTTTTTCCCTCGAGAGATTCTTAGCGTCCTAACTGGATTTCAGGGATAATTATGATAATTTACTTTTAAGAAACGCTTATTTAAAGGCAGTGTCAGCCGCCAGGTGTCAGATGATATAAGTGAGCGTCCTACTAGCACATCTGTTGTTTATTGATACACTGAGAAGACACTCATTTGCAGTTAACTTTTTAAAGTGTTTTTGAAGAATGAGTTTACTTGAGACTGTTTTATATAAATATGCCTTATATTTGATATTTGAGAATTCACAAAATTTTCAGCATTTAAGGAAAGGTGCTGAAACAAAATCGCATATATATTGTAGTATTTTTTTTTAAAACGATGGAATATGTAATTTGGGGAAGTATTTGAATTTCTCCCTACTACCTATAGCGTTTCTTATATAAGAGAAACAACGGAATATTTGAGTTTGTGTGTCTGATTTACTTAACATTATGTTCTCAAATTGTATCCATTTGCCTACCAATGCCCGGTTTATCTTTCTTTATGGTACTGTGGTACTGTATCGTGGTTGAAAGAGTTTGTGTTATGTTTCTCTGTTGTAAGAATAACAATACATAGTGTAAATAACTTTGTCTCATTATTTGGTTGTAAGTTTCTTTAACTTTTTACAAAATGAAGAAGAGATAATGAAGCTGTTCGTTAAATTCATAGCATAGAAGTAAAGCACTGGCCAAAACCTAGAAGCAGTCTTGTGTTTGTATCTTGCCGCCATCATACTCAAGCTGTGGGAGTTGGGACAGGTTATTTCAATTTCTTTTCTTTTCTTTTGAGACAGGGCCACCCCAGACTGGCCTCAAATTCATGGCAGTCCTCCCACCTCAGCCTGGTAGGTGCTGGGATTACAAGTGCCGCCACACCCGACTATTTTAATTTTCTGAACTTCAGTTTCCCCACTTGAAAATGAGAACTCATTTTATAGTTTTTCTGTGAGGATTAAAAAGAAGTTAATAATCTAAAAGTTTTGGCATTTGCTAAGAGTTTAGATACTGTCCATGTTCTGTTTCTTAAGATGTCACTGAACTTTGATTTCAGTTCTTGTTAGAAAGGCAGGTGACAGGAGAGGTTTGGAAGCGGTGACAGTCGCAGGTTAAGCATGTCATCACACCTTTGGAGCCCTCTAACATTAACACCACTTGGTTCACTGCATTGGACGGTATGCTTGTATATTCTTTTCATAGTCCTTTTTCCTTCGATTAAAATATTTGTCCATCATTCCTACTGTGTTCAAGGCTCAGGCCTTCACCACCTTCTCCCCAAATCCAGCCTTAGGGAATGTGTCCTTTGTCACTCTGTCAATTTTCACTTCTTTGTAACAGCTTTCAAAGCTACCTTGGGCTCCAGTTCCCTGTTGTCAACCAGCAACTGGACACATTTGGACCCATTATCTCCTTTTCCTTCCCAGTCTGTCCTCCAACCTAAATTTCTTTCTGCCTCCGCTGAGAATCTCCTAAACTTTAAATATGACATGATCTTTGATTCTTTTCTTTTATTCTCCATGTCATTTTCCTGCTGTGAGCCTGGCACATGTTTTCTTACTATGTAATCTTAGGCAAATTCCTTAGTAGCTTTGTGCCTTATTTTCTTATTATATTACTGGGCAGTGATAATACTTGCTTTATAAGTTGTGAAAAACATGAGTTGACTCATGAAAAAGGAGAATATTACCTTGCATATGGTAAGCACTTGCTAAATATTATTTTAAAAGCCATTTTAAGATTGTTCATTGTGCAAACTTTTCTTCCCATTGCTAACTTCGCAGAGAGTACTTTTCACCCCTCCTCTAATACTAGCTACTCTGTGGTACCTGGTGTAAGATTTCAGTTTTAGGTTGAATGTTACTTTAAGTTCTGTAGTTCATTTAATATGCTAATGCTTGAGTCTACAAGAAGGTCTTTAGTTTGGGGACATATATAAGGCATTGAGCTAAGACGTGATTAATTTACAGTACGTATCCATATCTAGACTCCGCATAAGCATATTCAATCAACTATGGTATATTTAAGTGTATAAGATAGACAATGATATTACTGAGTTTTGTTGGATCATTGAACAGAACTGTTTGCAGTCTCACTGTTTGAATGTCCACTTTATATGCTTTAATTTTGTAACTTGAACAAATATTTCTAAGATGACAATATGTAACCCATTAACTAGTGATTTCCTACTGTTTATTTTTTTTTCTGAAATTCTGTATAACTTGTACCCTTTTTCTGCTTTTTTTTTCTTTTTCTCCTTAAATAAAATTAAAAAAAAAAAAAGAAAATTGAGCAAAATGCAGATTTTGCCTGTTACTATGCCCAAATAAAACAGTGGAATGTCTATTTCCATAGCATTGTAATAGATATTACAAATACTCTAGAGATAGTAAGTTAAAGTATATTGAACGATATGTATAAGTTGCTGTGCCATAAAGGAAAGGATTTGAACATCTGCAGATTTCGGTATTCATGAGTGTCTTGGCACCAATCCTCGTGGGTAGCGAGGATGGCTTTTTTAGATTTTACTTCTTTGTAACTCATTACTGTCTTAGGCTTAAGATATCTGAATAAATATTCAGCCTCAGCTTCTGTCTTTTTCTCATTGCTGAGACAAAGTACCCAACACCCCAAATTAAGGGAAGAAAGGTTCATTTAGCTCACAGTTCGTAGGGGTTTCATTCCATAATCAGCTAGCTCCAAGGCAGGTGGCATTTCAGAAGAGAAGCAGTTCATGGTGGGCAGAAAGTAGAGCAACAAGAGATAACCCTTTCTATCCCTTATCTTTTATCTGGCTACTTAGAGTGGGTAACACACTCTTAATCCTAGTGCCCTTAATCCTTGCATCACACTATGAATCAGTCCCAGCATCACACACTGTAGATCCAGCTACCTCAGAAAATATCCCACCTCTGACTGCATGAAGTTTTGTGGGAGACATGTATACACAAATGATAACATTCCACTCTTGGCTCCCCAAAGACTCAGGCACATCACTTTATGCAAAAGGCACATTGTCCATCTCTAGGAGCTGCCAAAGTTCTGATAGTTTCAGCATTGCTGAAAAGTCAAGAGTCCAAAGTTGTCTTCTGAGATTTAAGGCAAACTCTTATATGCAAGTCCCTGTACACATGAAAGTTAAACACTTCCAACATTCAGTGGCACAGAAATAGACATTTCCATCCAAAGGTTACAGATGAGGATAACAAGGAATGGGAATGAAGCAAGACCAAAATCCAGCAGGGCAACCGTTAAATCCCGCAGTTCTACCTCCAGAAAATCTGGCAATCTGTGGCAAGTTGTGAACTCAAAAGGCCTGGGTGTTTTGCCCTATGGTATTCTGGTGGTTTCACGGCTCCTGTCTTGGGCGAGGTCTGCTCCCTCCTTGCAGTTTTTCTCAGATGATCCACGTTCCTGTCTTCTCCAAACTTCTAGCATCTCCACTGTACCTTTACCTCCATACAGCATCATACACTGCCCACCGAGGGGCATACTGCCTTCTGAATTCTGGGTGGAAGCTTTCTGACCCCACAACTCTTGCATTTTTCGTACAGCTAAAACCAGCACCATGTGGATGATGCTACCACCTGGAGCAATAGCCAGGCTTTGTTTTGTGGCTGTAGGAGTTGAGAGCCTGTGAGCCAAATCCCTAAATCAAGTTCTCTAGGCTGCCACCATTCTAGAACATGGTGCTCTAGGGCTGTCTTCTCAAAGCAAAGTCTTTTACCTTTGCAACTCTAAAGCTATAGATGCTGGAGTCCTCTTGGTTCTTGTGATGTCCTCCGGCTGTCTTTTATTTCATCTTCATCTGAAATATTCTATGTGGCTTTTTCTTGCTAGTCTTTTCATTAACCAATTCTCCTCTGTTCCATCTTTGCAGACTGTAATTTTACTGGAGCTCCCTTTCTGGCCTAATCATTTAAATCATTCTGCTGGGCTCTTTGCTTTTGATTTTCAACATAAGTCTGGCTAAAGACCCCAAAAGTAGCCATGCCACTGCTTCAACGATAGACTGCCTTAATATTACTTCTGCCATATTAATTAGTACACTGCACTTAATTTCAGTCTCAGGCAAAATTTCTAAATGTGAGCAAAATGTGGACAAACTTTCTGCCAAGGTGTAGGGTTTTTTTAGCAAAGAGAAAAGAAAGGAACACACACACTAAGGGTCAGCAAAATGGCTGCCGCCCAGCCAGCATAAGCAAAAAACTTTTATTGAGATTAAAAAAAAAATACTGTTTTTACCTTGGGGCTGGGAATGTTTCAAGGACTGTGCTTTCTACCAAAACACTGTCAACTGGTTGTGTCCGGGACACTGTGGCCTCTCCACACTAAGGGATGACACACGTTGGAATCTTAACAGCCAATGCAGTCTTTTTTTCCCTGCAGAAACCTGAAACTGGTCTTTACCAGCAGAATGTCTATCAACATTCTGATCTTTTGAACTCTGACCTGAATCTCCCACCAAATACAGCTTCAGGTGTTCCAGCTTTACATTTTCAGCTGGCATCTACAAATCTTTCCTTATTCTTCCCTCTCCCATAAGCCAGCTCCAAAGGCTAAGTGACAAACTCAGATACACTCACAGCAACAACCCCACTTTTCTGGTACCAAGTTTTGTCTTGGTTACTTTTCTCGTTGCTGAGACAAACTACCTGACACCCAAAGTTAAGGAGAAAAGGTTTGTTTAGCTCACAGTTTGTAGGAGTTTCAGTGCATTTTTAGCTAGCTTCAGGAAATGGCATCACACAAGAGGAACTGGGCAGAAAGTAGCAAAGCAACAAGAGACAACCACAGCTCTTTCTATCCCTTATATGTTATGCAGGCTACTTAGGGTGGGTGACACTCACATTCTTAATCGTAGTACCCTTGATCCCAGCATCACACACTCTAGATCCAGCTACCTCAGAAAAGGTCCCACCTATGACGGCATGAGGCTTTGGGGGAACATCGAGATGCAATACATGACAGCTTCCTTAAGAAGAGAAAAAGCTGTTTTCCCTGGCAGGTATACCTTTTTCTAGAGTGTTACTGGTTTTCATGACTCCCTATTTACTTGCTCAATTAAAGAATGAACAGCTTTTTTTTCATTCATTGTTTAAGAAACATTATTTTGTTTGTTTTTTTGAGACAGAATTTCACTATGTAGTTCAGCCTGGCCTTGATTCACTGTGTAACGCAGGCTGGCTTCGAACTCAGGATGATCCTCCTGTCTCAGCTTCCTGAGTGCGGGGATTGCAGGCATGGGTCACCATGCCTGGCTAAGAAAGGCTATTGAATAAAAATCCTTGAAAAGTAGTTATTTGAATTTGGGTGTGTTGTTTTTAAAGTGTAATTTGATACTTTTCAAATACTTGTGTTACTGTTAAACCTTTCCCAGGTAAATATGGTAGCTTTATTTACTGATCTGTGAGGTTAAGAGGTAAACAGATGATGAGAGGAGTCAATTTGCCCTGGGATTGGCTTTGTTCTTTATGAGTTAATGCTTTTTTATGTTAATAAATAAAATATTGCTAATATGCTCATGTGCTTTCATCCATAAAAAGAACGATGACATTTTCCTTAAAGCTGTACTACAGAACCGACTGTTCAACTTTTTTTTTTTTTTTTTTTAATGTAGCTTAGGCTCGCCTAAAACTCACGGCAGTCCTGCCTCTGCCTCCCAAATTCTGGGATTACAGAAGTGCATCACTATGTCTGGCCAACTATCTATTTAGTCCTTCTGTCTTCTGATAGTTCTGGGATTTTTAAAACGTTGGTCTAGTCTGAAAGCCTTGAAGTTATGTTTGATTTCCTCAGTTTTATCCTGCATAACTGACGTTGTTTTTCCAAATACTAGGGAATTTTACAA